CCTGGAAGGAGCCTGTCCTGGAGGACGACCATGGGCTTTGTTCTTCTCTCATGCCCCAGGCCATGGCAGTTTTTTGGACAGGGGACTCATGAGTCCTCCTGCTGCGAAATGCACCACCAGCCTTGTGGCTGTCTTCAGCATCCACCCTTGAAATCTTGAGCTCTGGGTCCCTTGGTTCTTCCCTCTGTCAGCCAAGGGAGTCTTTTGACTCCAGGGTGCTGGCATGCGGAGGGGGCAGAAAGAGCTGGATGTCAGGGTGGGTCCCGTGTGCCACTTGGGATGCTTGGGGCCAGAGTGCTTGTGCTACGATGGGGCTGAGCAGGAGGCAGACCGTCCAGGGCTCCCTGCCGTAGCAGGGTTGACTAGGAGGTGGAGATGCACGGACAAAGCAGAAGAGCTGTAGTGCCCCTCCTTGATGCGCTCCACAGCAGCAGGTGACTGTGGTTTGACCTGCAGGAGTTACTTCCCTCGTGTTTTGGCATGGCAGGAGCCTGCTCCCACCTTGCTGGCTTTGAGAGCGGCTGGGATGTTTGTGTGGGGAGAGCTTGCCTTGCTACCTCAAGGCAGCTTGCAGCATGGATGCTGGGGCTGGGATTTGCAGAGCACAGACAAGTGTACTGCTGCAGATCTGCTCGGAGCTGCTCAAAAAAGGTTCAGCCAGATCTGCTGGGACCTCTCTGCAGAGGTAAAAGTTTCAGTCCTCATCTCTTTGGATGCTAACAATATCCACTGCCTTTCCCTGCAGTTGGTACCTTGGTGGGGCTGGCAGCCCGCTCTGCAAGCTGTCTGAATTTCTGGACTGCACAGACTGGAAGTACTAGGGATCTCTGCTTGCAAATGTGGCTTTTGGGATTTGAGGGTCAGCCAAGCTGAAGGAAAAGCCCAGTTCTGTGCCTGGACAGGGCTGCAGGCAGGCCAGGCTCATGAGAGAGAGTCACTAGAATGACGGCCGCTGCGATGCTGCATCTGCTCTAGGGAAGGGGCATCTGCCCTTGTGGGCTTGAACGTTTTTCAAGTGGTTGCCATTTAAAAAGAAAACTGTGGGCGGCTTATACCTTAGGGAGCAATTAAAGCCATTTGATGGAGGTGGCAGTCTTGTTCCTGAATTTCCCGGTGCGCTCTGCTTCAGGCTCCCTCGTGTTGGTGCATGCTGTCTCCTGCCTGTGGCTGATGGCGTGAGCACCTCTGTGTCTTTGTGGCTGCCGGCTTGAGTGGTGGGCATGGCGTGGCTCGCGTTTGCTCTCCGTGTGGCATCTGCAGCTGCTTCTCATTCCACAGCCAAGAAATCCGGCTGCAGCTTTGGTCCAGGGAGCCACATGCTGTGCTGTCGGTGCCAGCTGCGAGGGAGCACGGGGATCTTGGCGTGCTGGGGAGAATAAAGAAGTGCCCATTGCTAAGCTCTAATGAAATACAGTAAGTTCATTTGTCCAGTTGCCGGCTCCAGCCAAGGGCGCAGCAAGCTGTGCAAAGGGGGCTGAGCCCTCTCCCCACATGGTGATGCTCTAATACAGCATTTTGGGCAAGCCGTATCCATTATCGCCACGCAAATGGAAGCCCCCAATAGCTGGTGCTGCTTCCCCAAATCTCTCTGTCGTCACTCACCGCTGCTTCTCAAAGCTGCTGTCGGACCTGCGTGCCAGATAACTGAGCAGATGAACGTGGGCAAAGGCTGGAGCCCTTTTCCCTGGCAGAGGAGCCACAGTGTCCGGAGCGAGAGATTTACGCCATGGGCCTGAGCGGGATTGTGGTCACAGTGCCATTGTCTCTAGGAATTTGGCCTGGTAGCTGTGGCTGGTAGCAGATGTTTGGGCACTGGGAAGCTGAGTTTAGTCTATATATTGTTTAGAAACTGGCCCTGCCAATTATGAGATTGACCTAATTATACATCCCGCTTTATCCATCACAAATACAGCTATCCTAAGCCAACACAGCCAGAATTGAGTCAGCCCCATAGTTGAGGTCGTCTTTTTGGCAAGAAGCAGCTGCCTAACCACGTCCTAGCCCTGGAGAGGCTGCAGCCCTTGCAGCAGTGATGCAGCGGGTCTGAGTGGTTCTTCCCTTGCTGATGGGCTGTCTGGCATTGGGGTGGCCAGGTTACAAAGCACTGGAAGCAGGGACGTTGTAGCTAAGCTCGGCCTTTGCACGAGGCCTGAGATGTCAGTCGATAGATAGGGCTAAGCTCTCCTGTGTCGCTCCCCAGGCAGGGGCAGATGGCCCCGTTCTGGCTCCTGTGGCCCTTTGGCTCACCTGACCGCCATGGGTGGGAATGCTAACCCCCAGCAGCTAGTTTTGGCTGAAGCCAGGGCTGAGAGTTGTTACAGCTGTAGCACTTTGAGGCCAAGCAGCCGTGACCGTGGGGAAACTGTTAGCCATTGCCTCAAGTTTGTGAGTGTGGGGAACAGCCTGCTGGAGGGGCTTTCCTTCCTGGGCCTGTGACGGATGCTGTGCACCACACGTCTCTCCCAGTCCCAGTGCTGTCCTGTTCCTGCAGGGATGGCTCGCCACGTGTTATGCTTTCCTGTTCCCCCTCTCCCAGGGACACTCTCCGTCCAGTGGCGTGGTTCACAAACATTGCATTGCTTGCAGTGCTGCAACAAGCCATCAGTGTGGGAAGAGCTGTTTTTAATGCAGATATCCTGTTTTCCAGGTGTGAGGATGGGTGCTTGGGGAGCATTCTCTGCTTCTCTGCTGCTTGCTGACCTGTGTGGGGATGAGAGCCATTTCCCTTGATTCCTGGTGGGGGGGCATGCCCCAGTTGCCCAGGGTCTGGGCTTGGCTGGCTTGTATTTAAAGGCTGCTCTGCTTTCTCAAAGGAAACTTCCTGGCTCACTGCCCTGCTTGGGATGGAGCAGGTGTCCTGTTACCCCTCCCTTCAGGAGCTATTGCAAAACCATCTGAAGGCTTGCTTTTTCCTTTGCATTTCTTTGCTCTAATGTTCCTTGCTGGTCACCTAAGAACTAGTGAAGGCCTTGTCATAGCCCTGGCAGGGGAAGGAGGCCAGCTCTGCTCTGTCCCGCTCAAGGAGAGGCCCAATGCTGGTGACAGGGAAGCTGGGGGTAGGTTGCTGTGGTGCAGGTGCCCATGCTGAGCTGATGTCAGTCTGTAGCATCTGCTCCAGGCTGGCTGGCAGATGCTGAAATGACAGCTCTGTTCAGACGGGAGCAAAAGATTTTGTGAAAAAATCTTCAAATCTGCTGGCCGAACTGTTCCCAGATGTGTAACTAGCCCTGATCATCTTGAAACAGCCTCCTTTTGGTCTCTGTCCCCCTGAGCACTGGCTGTGGGCAGGGCCAGGGGCCAGCAGAGATGCTCCTTGTCCGCCCAAGGCATGCACTATTTCAAAGCGGTTCCCTGCCCCGTTCTCTCACCTGCTGTTTTGGGATGCCCGTGAGTTTTTGACGTTCAGACCCACGCACAGACCAGGATTAAAAACAAAGCCATTGCCCTGAGCAAGGGGAAACCCCTTGAAAATCAGGCTGTGGCTTTGCCTTGGTGACAGCAGAGCATTTCTGTGCCAGCCATGGTGAATGGAAACACATCCCAGCTTCCATGCCTTGGGCTCCTGCAGTTTCTCCTAAGAGCAGAGCCATGATTGCAAGCAATTTCCGTCTATCAGAAGAAAGCCCAGCAGGGCTGGCATGCTTCAGGCTTTCTGGGGAGAAGCTGGTCCCCAGAGAAACTGTGCCTTGGCTTCGGAGGCTAACTTCATTAGTAGCTGTTAGGCTTTTCCCCCCCACCCCCCATGCCCAGGCAGAGGGCCAGCAGGGTGCCCACGAGAGCATCTGCTGACCCTTGTCCTTCAGCAAGAGCCAGCAGCAGGTACCTCGCTGGGAGGAGAGATGATCACTTGCTGGGAAGGGTCTGGAGCAGTGGGAGCTCACTGCTGGCTCTGGCAAGCCAGCTGGCTCGCTCTGCCGAGACGATACCACCCCCAGGGTAGTGTCTGTACAAGCCCGTCAGCTCATTAAAAATCCGTTCAGCCGGCACCAGGCCTGCTCCTCGGTGCTGCAGGGCGCCTTGGCTCTTGGTGCCTGCAGCTACCTTCTCTCCAGGCACTCCCTGAGGACCCACAGGACATCTTAGCTTGCCTGACACCAGGCAATCCCCCTTCCACCTCTTCTGGCTGGATTATGGAGGCAGAGGCTTGCTAGGCATGCATGTGTGCATGGCCCAGGTAGATGCTGACCAGAGGAACTAGGCCTCATTTGTTAAAGGCTTCTGTAATAAAGGTGCCTGGCTAGCTTAGCCTGGAGCTGGCTTGGGTGGTGGTGGGGTGCTGCTCACTGTGCCTGGGTGGGAAAAGGTACTTGTCCTTGCCCAGGGCTCAGATGTCACCTTGGCTTTACCCCGAGGCAGTGCATACCGGGCGAAGCTCCCTGTGTCCAATGGGTGTGCGGCCACTGGGCTGGGGCACGGCTCTTTGTACATGCACCAAATGTCTGTGAGCCACAAGGGCTCCCTCTGTGCTCCTGCCAGCCAGTGTTAACCACAGTGGCTCTGAAAGCTCTGTGATTTAACAAGCCCTTTCCAGGCCCCTTCCGGCACTGAGAGGACCTAGGCCAGGTGGTGACAGGGCATGGAGAGGGTTTGGCCCATCTTCTACGTTGCCTGGCCATGAGGAGGGTTTTCTCTAATAGGAAACAGCGATGTGCCTTGAGTTTCACTGGGTAGCCCGTGGCATTCGCACAGCCTGGCACAAATCTCTCCAACCCATTGCTTGGCTGTCACCGTCCAGCCCACACGTCGGGTGCCAGCATAGCATTGGCTGTGTCCTGAGCTGTCTGGTGGACATCTGGGAGCATTTAGCTCTTGTGTGGCAGCTTGAAGGCGGTCCCGGCGTTCGCTATTGCTGCTGGGCAGTGCCTGTTGGCAAGGAGGACAGTGGTGTCTCGGCACATATCCGGGCAGAGAGGATCTGTGGAGGGTCCTGCTGGGGACATGTGGAGGCAGCCCTGGCTTCAAGCCATGACTCACTGCTCATCTCTCTTGTTTCTCTGCAGGTGCTGGCGAGTCCGGGAAGAGCACCATCGTCAAACAAATGAAGTGAGTAATCCCGGCATCTCCTGCCCCTTCTAACCCCCACAAGTTCTCTTCAGGGGTTGCAGAGATGCCCAGATTTGACAAGAAAGCTGCTGGTGTCAGGCTCTGGTAAAGCACTGGCTGTCATCACCTGCTGCCCCTGTAGAGATACGATGGGAAGCGCCCATAGGGAAAGGCTGGTGCTACGGGCCTGGCTTTGGAAGCATGTCCCCAGCACAGCCGGAGGTGCCACGTGGTTTTCTCATCTCCCTGTTGAGGACCTGGGTGCTGTGCAGTGGTACTGGAGAGCAGGCAGGCAGAGCATCCAGCTGCCAGGGCACCCCACCTCTCTGGCTTGTCCAGCTACATGGAGGGGTGGCTGCATCCCCCTGGAAAGGGGTAGCCGCCTTGCGGCTCAGCTTGTGGAGATCAAGGTTGCAGCCACTTGGGTACAGGGGTGAGGCAGGCTTGGATTGCCCTCCTGGGCTAATCCAGTCTGGCAGTTTTTGGATTTTCGCTAGGCTTCAGCTAGACATCCTTTGAGGAAGCAGTGAGTATTTCCAAACACTCGGTGGTATGTTGCAGTTACCAATGGCCAGACAGCATCTGTGGCAGGGGCATCTTTTGACAGAGCTGCTGTCATCCCTTCCCAGGGCAGCAACTCCTTAGCAACTGTTCCAAGTCTCCTTGTGGCCTGCAGAGCCGAATCCCTGGGACAGCATTGCCATTAGCAAACAAGGTGGCCAAGTCATTCCTCTAGAGAGCACGGAGAAGGCCACTCTCCTTGGTGTGCTCCACATCCCACTGATGATGGGAGAAGCTCTTCCCCTGCTGCTTCAGGTAGCAGCTGGCCTGGATGCCTTTCAGTTCAGCCGCTTTGTGCGCAGTGACTCCTAGCAGGCGCTGTCGCAGCCTGCCATGGGCAGAAGCGGAGGAGGAGCTCAGGGGACCGTCCCATCTTGGCTGCCTCTGACCGCTGCTGTTTGTTTTTATTAACCGGATCTTGGTCAGGAGCTCCAAACCCTACAGCCAGGGATGAGGAGAGCCTGGAGGTGACCAGAAAACTCTAAATCTGTGTTCTTCTGTGTGAAATGTCCCTAAGTAATCTCACTGCCTAATTATAGATGCTGTATTAACACAGACTGGGGGAAGTATCTAGCCCTCGACTGCTTGAGCAAACAGGCCTTTCCAGGCAGCCTAGAGCAAACTGCTGTTTAATTGCAAGCCAATGAAATATTCAAACACGGAAGGTGACCTCAGAGGCTCAGATGCCTGTGGTTACGTCGGCCATGGAGAGCTGCTGTGAAAGCAAATACCTAATGCTCTGAGGCTGAGCGAGAGAAGCAGGCCAGGCAGGGGCTAGACTCTGCTACCTGGCACAGGAGCATTCGTCCTGCTTCCTGGGGGCATTTGAACTCCCTCCTCGCAAAGCTGATCTGGCCCAAGCCACCTCAACGAGCCCTGTGGAGTGTTTTTGTGTGGGTTGCTGACAGCCTGCTCTCACTTGACCCTGGGTTGCCTGGACCCTGCTGTGCCAGTGCGATGAGCAGGGCTGGGACAGCCTGGAGAGGCCCTCGTACCCTCTGCTAGCTCCAAGCCCAGACCTGTGCTTTCCAAGCCCTTCCCCGAGTCCTGCGTGCCCTTCTGCTCTGGCTTGAGCAGGCCCAGCTGGTAGTCACAGGCTGGTTTCCATCTATCTGTCCCTGGCACCTCTGGAGTTGCAGGGTCGTTGCCCTGTCCCTCGGGCTATAGCTGAGGAGGTAGCAGCTGGGGACATGCCGGTGTCTAGCACAGCATCTTCCTCTCCGCAACAGAGGTGCTGAGCTGCTAGACAGTGTTACTACTCCTCAGCCTTTTTCAGTCTTTGCCCTGACTTGGGTGCACCTGTATCAGGTTGTTGGAGCAAAGCATGCAAGTACAGCCTGGCTTTTATTGCTGCATAGCCCTGGTTAGGAGATGTGTGCAGGCTGGAGGACAGAGCAAGATCACCCTCTTTTTCTACCAAGATTTACAGGAATTTGCTCCTCCCTGTTATTTACTTTCCCTAAAGTAAATCCCTGTAATGAGAAAGACTCAGAGCTGTAACCCTAGACAGTGATGGGCCGCACAGCCCCTGAAATGGTGGCTGGCTCCTGTATTAGTGTGACACTGAGCAGATCTGTGCCCTCCTGGCTGCTCCCTGGCATGATGACCACAGCCAGTGTCACTCCCTGGGCTGGCAGCGGCTGGGTAAGGACGCCCAGGCTTGGGGAAGCCATGCTGGCTGATGCGTGCCACCAAGCAGAGTGTGGCCCTCTGGCAATGTTGCTGCCAGCGAGGGAGGGAGCTGAAGGGGCCAAAATGCCCTACAGAGCTCTGACCTTGCCTGTGTCTGTCCCGTCTCCAGGATTATCCATGAAGACGGCTACTCGGAAGAGGAGTGCCGGCAGTACAAAGCCGTGGTCTATAGCAACACCATCCAGTCCATCATGGCCATCATCAAGGCCATGGGTAACCTGCAGATTGACTTTGGTGACTCCTCCAGAGCGGTGAGTCCCAGCTGGGTCCCAGTTCCTGCATTTGGGGCATTTCCGGTAGGGGAAAAAGGGTGTTGGGGGGGGGGGGGGTGAAAGCAGACGCACCCAAAGCTGGAGCAGGGCAAAGGGCAGTGCTGTCTGAGCAGGTCCTTGAGGAGGGATGTGCAGAGCCAGGCCGGTGGCTGCTCCCTGCCCCTGGCCCTCCCTCCTGCGAGCCACTACATCCTCTCCCCGGCATTAAATGACATGAGCCATGTTGGCGACAGGACCAGCCCCAGGCAAGGCTCGGAGAGGGGCCAGTTCCCCTCTTTCTCTGCTTGACTCCAGGCTCTCTGCAGCTGGCCACCTGCTCCATCACTGTATGCCTAGCTGGGGACAGGCACGATGTAAGGAGGGAGGAGAGTGATTCCTCCTGGGTTTTGACAAGTGATCTTTGCCATGCCTGTGATTTCTACTATTGCGAATGGAGCGAATCCCTGGGTTTTGTGGTCCTCAAATGTACAGCGTGTTTCAGGGCAGGTCTGAAATGCCTTGTTCTGCTTGTGATTCTTCCTGGTGTTTGGGGTTGCACGTTGAGCGAAAGTTATTTGTGAACAGAAAACGCCATGCTCTGTTCGGACAAGGTTGAAGAAAATGGTTTTGGCAGCCCAGAGAAGAGCAGGGCTTTGGTTTTGGAAAGCTTTTCCCTATGAGTGTTTGTGACAGGTGACTCTGAAGAGGGTAGAGGAGTTCGTGGATGTACCCCATGGGTGTCCTTCACCTCTTTGAGGGCTGCAGAGAGTGGTGATGCTGATGCTGATGCCCTGCTTTTTCCCTGCAGGACGATGCTCGCCAGTTGTTTGCGCTCTCCTGCACTGCGGAGGAACAGGGGATCATGCCAGAGGACCTTGCCAATGTGATCCGGAGGCTCTGGGCTGACAACGGCGTCCAGGCCTGCTTTAACCGCTCCCGAGAATACCAGCTGAACGACTCCGCTGCCTAGTGAGTATCTCCCCTCCTCTGTCCAAGCTCTGGGGCAGTGCCAGGTATTAGCATGTTTCCCCGCAGTCATGAAGCTGGATGTTTTCACCTGGGGATCTATGCAGGGCTGCGAGAGGCAAGTCATGCTCTAGGAGATGGTAGCCCTGTTGCCTTCTTTGCCTTTCCCTGGCAGAATGGTGCTGGAGTTGGGAGGATGCAGGCCTGTGACCATCCAGTCCAAGCTGGAGCTCTGTGGTGTGCTGCGCTGCATGCAAAGGGCTTGTGCTGTCTTTGTCACTGCAGGGGAGGCCGCAGTTGCCTGCAGGTGTCCGTGGTCTCGGTGCTTTGTCAAACCCATAGACAAACCACCAAAAGCTTCCTGGTGATCTTGCTAGAGCGGAATCTCATTTGCTTTTTATGCCTTTGGCTCGTTTCTGTGTCTCCATGCTAAAAGCAGAGCTCTTTTTGGATTCTCTTGTCCTTCACAACACTGCCAGGGAGCTGCTAGACTGACTAGTGAATCACAGAGCAGTTACACTTCTCCTAAAGTGCCTGAACTGAGATGGATTTGTGTCCAGGGCCTGTTTCCTGAAAACAGTACAAACTGTCTTATATCTCTTTGCCCCAGCTGTGCATGCTTGTGCCTGGGGCTCGTAGGGAAATCAGGCTGCAGCTCCTTCCCTCACAGCCTTGTGTGTCTGAGGCTTTGGCTCAGAGCAGGCTTTGATGGCCAAAGGGGAAGGGGCAAATGGTTTTTGCCCCCATGGTGAAATCTACTGGTTGGAAAAGAGCTGTGGTGTCCAAATAGCTTTTTTTGAACAATAGCAAAAAATACCCTAACCTGTTGCTGCTGCTGTTTTCTGTCCCCATTTCTAGCCAAGTACAGCCCGGTGAGAGAGCACCATGTAGCCCTATAGATGAGCAGTGTCTTTCCTCTTCCCGAGGCAGGAAGACCACGTCTTTTGATGAATTTTCCTCTCTGAACTGTTCATCGCTGCCTCTCTGGGATGCCAAAGCAGGGTTGAAGCATGTGATTGAGAGCGGGCTTCTGCCTGCTGGTGTGAGCTGCAGTTGCCCCCACTGCTTTGATCCCAGTCAGCCTGCCCTGCTCCTCCCACGAAGGGCTCTAGCCTGCCTGCAACTTCCCAGCCCGCCTCTGCTCTGGCACCACGTGGGCATGGTGCTCTTGGCAGTGCTTCCAGTTGACTCTCCTCTTTCCAGTCCTGGCACTGCTTTGCCTTCCTGCAGGGAGGATATCTCCAGCACCCATGGGACTAGCCTGAAAAAGCCCTGTTCTTCCTCCCTTTGCGGTCCTGCTCTCTTGGCAGCAAAGGCAGCTCCTGAGCCTGCTCCAGGACGGAGCTCACAGACTAGTCCGGGTAGGAACCTTGGCCAAAGCATGCTAACTGATTGCTTGCTTTCTGCCCCAGTGCAAATACAAAGGAAGCTGTCTCGAGCGTGCTCCGGTCAGCGCCTGTGGACTACCCAGGGTGGCCCCTTCTTTAGTGCGCCCATTGGATGACGTGAATGTGCCTCAGCCTGTGTTTGAGTTTCACGGCTGTTTCAGCCGCCCTCTTGCAAGATTCCCTGTCTCTGGGGCAGTGTGTTACCGTGGAGCAGGGTGTTTTGGCCTGGGTTTTCCCAGGGCTCTCTGCCCCAGCGACTGCTCTCAGTGCTGCTGCCTTTCCTGCAGGCTGCTGGAGACCAGCTGCAAGGGCGGGCAGACAGTGCAGCGTCAGGGACGTGCGTCAGTGCCTTGAGCCTCTCTTTCCCACCCACAGCTCGTTTGTTGAATGAGTTTAGGACGGGCTCGTTGGCAAGGTAACCCAGAGAGAGGGAAACATGCTGCGTGCTCCCCTTTGTACGAATCTCTCCCGACCTGCTTCCTTCCCCTCCCGCTTTCGTCAGGCGGGAAGGGAGGAGATGGGACATTGTTTTGTGAACTGTTTCTCGGGCCCTGCCACCTTCCTGCACGGAGCATTGCCCCAGGGAGCTGCAGTCCCTGGAGCACTGCAGTCCTGTGGCAGGCTGGAGTAGGGGGCCAGGTTCTCTATCCAGTCCCCACTGCACCACGTGCTCTCTGTGCTCAATGCTGTGGCACCCTGGAGACTAGCCGGGGAGCAGTTGCACCTGGGTTGGATTTGTTGTGGTGGTGGTGCATTTTAGGGGGGTCTTTTTTTTTTTTTTTTGGTTTGATTTGGGGAAATGACCCTGCCTGGGTTGGACAGCAGAATGGAGCATGGGGGAGAGGTGCACAGGTGGTGACGCACACGAGGTTGGCGCGAGCCAAGTGGGTGCTGCGACTTCCCTTTCGTTGCTTGGGCTGAGCCAGAACAGAACTGGGAAGGCAGATGTTTCAAAAGCTGTTTCCTCATCCTGTGGGGTGCTGTGGCCCAGAGGACAGCACTATCAGGTGGGATCGGGGGATCCCAAGCCTGCTGCAGCTCTGCGTGCTCTGCCCTTTCCCAGGGCAGCTCTTCCCAGGCCCCATGCAGCTGGGGCTGAGTCTTATGGACTCTTGGCCCCTGATTGCTTCCTCCATGTGAGAGGACCTGAAGGTCCTGTCTGTCCCCATTTTCATGCCCATACTTCACACTTAGGCCACAGGTTGTTGCTGCAGATGGTGCAGCTGCTCCCAGATGTGCATAAGGGTGGCCATCCCATTCAGCTGCTCCAGGATGTCAGCATGGCTTGGAAAGCAAAGCAGCCCCTCTGCAAAGCCACGCAGCAAGTGTCTTCCAGAACCGGCAGGCAGCCACGTCCTCGCCTTTCCAGGGAAAACATCCTGCAGCGCTTTCCTTTGGGACCTTAGTTCTCTTCTCCTGTTTCCTCCCCATCCACTGTAACTCAGCCCTGTCTGAAAAGGATTTTGGTGTAAGGGGAGAATTAAAAAGGGAGGGGACTTGGTCTCTGAAATCCCCATTAATTTTTTTTAGATGAACCTGAGTCTGGGGTTAGCAAGGGCCATTAAAATCTAGAGCTGCCATTGCCTTTGTGCAGGGAGGAGAAGCTTCACTTTGAGGGATCCTGCTGCTCCAGCTGTGTCTTTGAGTGTGAAACAAGATCCCAGCTGCAGGGGAACATTTCAGTGTGCTTTGTAGTGAACCCAAGGGTGCCCTGTAGGCTCCAGCTTGTGGTGACAAGCTCTGGGCATGGCTTGTGTGCATCAGCTCCTTCGTTTGCGCAGCAGGTTTGGGCTTTCATGAGTGAAAGTAAGAGGGGAACAGCAGGCAGCATCAGCTCCTAGTAGAGCAGAGCCACGGTTATGTAGATGCCTGCTCCAGCTATTGGGTTGGCTTTGGGAAAGAGAAGCCTGGACAGGGGGCATTGGGGCCTCCTGAGCCACCCTTGCTTATCCACGGGAGCTGTGCGACTAATTCATGGTGTGGGTGTTGGGGAAGCATTCCCATCTTAGAGGGAATGAGATGCTTTCAACACAACTTGGGCTTTCATGCACTGACTTGTACAAACGCAAGCTCGCCCTTGCAGCTGTGTTCTGCCATAGCCATGCCTAACATGCTGGTGCTACCTGCGAGCACAGGGTGCTGCCTAGATTTAGGCTTCCTGATGTGTGGTGTTGTATTTCAGTATATCAGCAGGCATACATCAGCAAGTATATTTGGCAGTATATTTGTTTCTGGTTCCTGCCTGTAGCTGGGATTTGAGGATGTGTGAGGGGAAGATACTGGTTTTGTCCTGCCTTTTCAAAGTCAGCTTTTTTCTAATGCTGGGCACCTGCTGCCCTGGGGCTGGATCTCTGCTTGCCAGCAAGTAGCCCCAAAGCAGGGTCTGACCCTGACAGGCAGGAACTTCCACTCCTAGGACTTCTCTCAACAGCCCTCCTTCCCCCTGGGAGAGGGGTCAGGGCTTTGCTTGACCTGCTGTGTGGCCCGCAGTTGCCTGTATCACTAACGATGCTGTCCCAAGCGTCCCTGGATGCTGGGATGCTCTTGTGCCTGGGAGCTTCACAGTCAACAGCTTTCCCTGACAGGTACTCCTGAGCTCCTGAATTGCTGCAATTTCTCAGTTCCCCAAACGAGGATCATCCTTGCTGCAAAGATCAGTCCCCGTACTCTCTCTCTGTGCTGTGGGCAGGTTTCCTTCATCCAGCTGGTATTTCCACGCATTGTCTGGTCTGTGCTGGCAAAGCCTTGAAAGGAGGCAGTTAAAGCTGAAGTTCTTCCTGGTTGAGGCTGCCTGTGTTTTTTCCCCAGGATGGTTATTTAAATGAGAAGCATTTGGCCATCATAAGGTGTGGTTTGGCCACACAGTGAACAGCTGTGCACAGGGAAATTCCTGACCGCTGAGGATGGGGCTCTCCGGCCTTGCCGTGGCCATCGTAACACTTGTACTAGCTATGGTGCTGTGCCCGGCTGGAGCAATCAGCCTTGAGCTTTTGCACCAAGAGGTGTGGTGGGAGGCAGACATGGCCATTGATCTGGCTAGGCGGCCCCAGGTTTCTGCTCGGGTGTGTCATCCCCCTGACTCAGATGTGTGCAGACACTGGAGCAGCCTCTCTCTGGGGACACGGCAAGGCTGCGTACAGCCTCTGCTGCTGCACCTCAACCTGCTTGCCTGGTGACTACAGCTTCCTGAACCAGCCAGGTCTCTAGTGTGAGCCCAGTTGCAGCGAGCGCGTTCAAAGGGAAGGAGCAGCTCAAATTTGCCACGAACCTCCAGGAAGGGTAGAGGTGGCTTTTGCTGTACTTGTGCCCTGCCATTCATGTTGATCAAGAACTCTAGTCATCCAGAGAGCCCCGTCCAAGAGGACGTGGCCTTTCTATAGCCGTCTCTTGTATCCTCAGAAAGGAGGATAATGGTTGGACCTGCTTGTGTAGGCCTTTCCCTCATGCTTTCCTGGACCATTCGGGGTCCTACCCACGAGTGACTCCCCAGGAAGAGGCACAAGCTGGAGGCTTCATAGTTTGTCCCTCTGTGAGATCGTGCCACAAAACACAGCTGTTGGGAGCCGAGGTTGGAAACGGCAGCTGAGTCAGGGAGAAAAGAAGATAAACTCATGG